TCCCTTCTGAGATAACAAGACGTTAACATCCTTAAATTTGTGTTCTGTTATACATTACAGACACCGCTCGAAATGCGAGAAAAAATAAAAGAACCGTGCGTGAAAATGAGCTCCGAGTGCAGTTATGCCCTGAGGGAACTAGCAGTCTGGATCGAGATGATGACCTGTTCGTTGACAGCCGATATTCATGTTGTAAAAGCAAAGGCGTCCGCCAAGAAGCTCAAAGCCCAACTGAAAACGGGCCTTTGGCCCGATACGGATCTGCTGGACATAGTCCCGGCTGTCACGGTTGCTTCGCTGCTGATCGAGATCGTCTCGTGCACGGTGAAGATAGCTGACTCGGTCCACGAACTCGCCTTGCTGTCGAAATTCAAAATGCCCAATGCGAAGATGACAAAGCAACTGAGCCTGGAAAGGGTGGTGTCTGGGACTTTTAGTATTGAAGGATCACACAATGTTAATATCATAGTTGAATGATTTGGCCATTGTAGGGCTAATGACAACTTATGTAGTCAGTTGGTGTGGACATTTATGAATATGAGTTTGTGAATATTTAAGTATATATGAGTATGAATAATTACTTGGTTTGAGGACAATTTTCTGTTGCTTGGAGAGTATTGTTATAAAACTAAAGAGAAAAGAGAGATAATAGAGAAAATGTTCTTTTAGGTACGATTTTCATTATAATTGAAACTCCTATTTATAAGAAACTTTTAATAGCACAATCGTAATAATACAATTACATCATGAGCAAAATAGTCATTCACATCTATTATTTTATAATAAATATATCACAACGCTCCTCCTTGAATGACTATTTCTAAACACTCCTCCTTGAATGATTATTTTTAAACATATTTTAACTGATTTGAACAAAGTCCAATCTGTGCATCTTCAAGTATATCTTGTGGCCATCAAGTACCGTTGCTTCAGCATGTTAGGAAAACCCAGTGGGACAGAACCTGATCATCGTGGAATCACAACATTTCTTCTCAGGAAAACCTGGTGGAACAAAACCTGATCATCTTGAAATCATAACATTGTTTCCTCAAGAAAACCCGGTGGGACAAAACCTGAGCATTGTGGAAGCACAACATTGCTTCCCCCTCAAATAGATCATCTTTAGTGGAGTATCCACATACTGCCTCGTTAAAACTTTGTCAAGAAAACCCAGTGGGAAAAAACTTGATCGAAGGAAAAAGAGTACGGCTACTCCAGTCTTTTCTCATCATCATGAGGAATCATATCAATTATCCAGTAGTCCTTATTATACCATGAATATGCCTCGTTAAAACCTTATTAGGAAAAACCCAGTGGGACAAAATCCTAATGAAGGAAAAAGAGTACACTATTCATGTGAATACGCTATCCCTGTTGCCTCATTAAAAACCTTGCTAGGAAAATCCAATGGGACAAAACCTCAGTCAAGGAAAAAAGAATACAACGCGTATTCCATATATTCAACATAATAACATTGCCATAATTTCCATGAATATCATATGGATTCATTCAGATTTTCGATACTGGTGGTATATATGATAATATGCCATATCATGCTTTTGGGCAACTATCATTCTTAAACTCATTCTCATCATCAACCGATTTCAGCTGATTTCATTCTCATCAATATCATTTATATAGCGATATTCATTTGTTTGTGTCGACACATATTAATTTCCATTATCCCCCATAATATATTGAGATATCTCATTATCAGTAATTCATCAATAGTATATATATGCCTCATTTCATCACTTATTTGGGGAATTTCAATTTGCACAATACCAACGCTTCCAGCGTATTATTCCACCATCATATCATTTCATATATTTCACCACCATCAGTATCATTCAGTTTATGATTTGCACACTTGCAGTGTGATGCATATATCATTTCCAAATTTCAAAATTGATTCTCCCCCTCATCTTAACAGATCCATGATCTGTATTTTCAGTATGGAATTTCTTGAGGGGAGTTCATATAGTCTCCATTTTGTTCTCGATTTCAACATATAATAGGAGAACTTTGAACTCATATTGCTTGTAATGTGCACATTTTTCTTTCAAGAATTCATCATGAGTATATTACTTGTTTCATCACTTTCATATGACACTTATTTTTCATTCTTTCATGATCATCTTGTGTCATTCTTTTGATCAAACCATCTCGTAACTTCAGGTTACGTGTCATATACACATTATTTGATCAAATCATCTTGTAACTTCAGGTTACGTGTCATATATCCATTATTTGATCAAATCATCTCGTAACTTCAGGTTACATGTCATATATCCATTATTTGATCAAATCATCTCGTAACTTCAGGTTACGAATCGCACATGTGGCTACCTAGTGGATCCATAATATCTAGTATCACACATGGAGGGGTAGTGGGCCCATATATATCATACTCCTTTCATACTCAGATTGATCAAATATCGATTCACAAATATTTAGCTAGTAATAATTTTCACCAATCGAGAAC